TTAATGTAATTTAAAGGTTTTATCCGACAATACAATGCATTATAGAGTAAACACTCGTTATTATAAACCCCTCATAAATCCCATACAAACGCCTTGTAACCGGCTATTAGTGTACGTACGCTATAAGTAGGGGCTCGTGTAACGTATGTACACATAATATCCGTGTATATAAATATATTGGTCTCTCTCTCTCTCTCTCTCTCTCTCTCTTCACTGCAATTGACAGTACCGATAGGTACTGACCCCTGTATGGTGTGATAGTGTCTATGGATGTCATCGCCATAAAAAAAAGCTAACTGTGCTCTCAATGATCGCGTAGGCATTTAGCGCCGACATGTTTGCGACTTTTGGATCTCACTTAAGATCTCTCTCAGCTCTCTCTCTCTCTCTCTCTCTCTCTCTCTCTCTCACTCCGTGGGAAATGACTGTTAGATATAATATCTATTACTACGACTAGTATTCGCAAAGAAAATAAAAAAGTTCACTGAGCATTTATTGAGGCTGACTGTCCCCTATCGTGTCTATACTGTCACTGAACTGAGTGATGCCTCTGAGCGCCTAATGTCATCGTAAACTCCAATCACTCGCACCGGTATCTCTAATAAGCCCTCCAGAGATGTATGGGTCGACTGTTTATCATCTCATTAATGCATTTCGATATATTTGCTTGATAAATTAGTGTCAGTCACACATACACACACACTACATGTATGTTATATACAGTAGACATGTATATAGTGTACAAAAAATATATTTTCATACATGAGCTGACAATAGCCAGTAGTTTATAATTAAATTTTGTTTTGTTTGCTGAGAGTTATTGCAGAATATTCTGTATATACTTATAATGGTGTGTCTAATTAATGTGTGTATTGTTTATGGGAAATACAATAGACTCACTAAGTGTGTGAATAATTAATTTTGTATTATAAATATATGTATAATATATTACTTAATCTATAGTGTACTTAATGCGATAATAGTGTACTGCACTTGAAATATATGGGTTAATGGGGTTTAGATATATTGTTTAGATTTAATATACAATTTTTTTCTAAACAGGGTTACTGCCCGTGCTATTGAGCGCCTACACACACGAGTTTTTAATAATCAATGATTTGCTTTATATCTCGCAAAATATAAAAAAGTTTTTTTTGTAATATTTTTTTCGTTTGTTTCAATCGATTGGATAGTTTTGAGCGAAAAATATAAAGCATTTTCTGTTATATAAAACTTTTAGGTCAATACACTTCGCTAATACACATATCTCGAGCTAACGGCGCTCTCGATAGACTACTGAATACAACACTATTTGATATAATAATACAAATAAGTATTATATTTATAAATATAAAATAAAATTGTTTTTTCTTAGCCTTTATGTATGGTGTGTAAGAAAATACACAAACAATTCGTTGTCTTATTAGACAATAAGAGAGAAAAAGTTTTTTGTATTATATTTATGTTATATTTATATCTCTTTTAACCACTTTTGAGATGAATAGGGAGAGAGAAATACATGTAAAATATATTTATTCACAGAATTTGTGATTGATTTTTATTTATTATAATTATATTGTTTTGTTATGATAACTATATTACTATTTTTGTGCCTGATTATTAAAATCGGGTCACAAAACACGCCAAATACTATTATATCTTATGGGAATTGCCATTCAATTATAAAGTCAATGGAAAAAGTTTTTTTTACTTATTATTTATTATATGATTGTATAATCTTTTGATTAATTTTTGGGAGTTTTATGTGTTTTTCTCTCTGTGTTCCCAAAACTTGTATTAATAATTGCTTTTCATTTTCAAGTTTACTGTTATTTTTTTTGCGTGTGATTAGGATTTAAATAAATATAGTTTGCTAGTTATTTTTTGCGAGTCTATTATATAGCATAATAGAAGTAATTATTTATTTATTTATTAGTATTTTTTGGATAATTTATGTGATATTTATTTTTGAATATTATATGAACGCAAACAAAATCATTTATTAATAGGTATAATGACCGCAAAAATATATATTTTTATGTATTAGTTATGATTAGATCTTAAGATTATTGAAGATTTTGTTTTAAATTAATGATAAGTATTATTAAACAGATTTTTTAAACTTCAAAAAATTGTCACAAAATCTATTATTAATACAAAAAAATATATTTAAAATAAACAACAATTTTAAACATTTGCTATAAGTTTAGACTATTTCCTAGTTAAATACTATATTCATATAATTTATTCAATTGTTTGCATAAATGTTTTACGCAAATATCTCGTAACTTATATAACATTTGCTCAAAAAACATTTTATTTATTATAAAACAAATGTTAACTATTTTTGCCCATAATTTCTCGCATCTGTTATGACTACTCGTAACACATTTTCTCATTTATAAGTCGTTTCTGAATATGACTTTCAAAACAATACTCAGAATTGCAGTGTTTTTCTCTCATTTAGTTTTACAATACTTTATAACAACATATGAATGGGAATTGCAGTCAAATTCTGGCATTTTTCCGCTCATTTTACTTATCAGGGATGAGAGAGAGAGAGAGAGAGAGAGAGAGAGAGAGAGCATTGGTATCTCACTCATCTACCCTTTCGCGAGCACTTACACCAAACCTATTACAGTGCCATACAATTAGTCGATGCAATAAACCTGTATAAACCGTATGTATATATATAAATGGCCGTTAAGAGCACCGGGGCTATTGGCATACATTTGCTTAAACAATATTGGTTTTATGTGTGCGTATTTTAGTTTTGTTAAAAAAGCTGTCGTTCCCCTTTAATGCCTCTAATAGTGAGTTTGTGTTGAGTGGTGTTCACCTACTTGTGCGCTCTCTCACCGACTCTAATGAGTCTCCTATGGTATGGAGCTTTAGGTGCATCTCATGAGAGGGTTTAGAAAGAAATGTGTTTTCGTTATGTGTTTTAGTTGTCTAATGAATGGTGTGTTTCAGACAAAGTATTTAAGACATCAGTGGAAAAAGTTATTTGCATTACGTGTGTGTCAGTGAGTATGTGCTCTCTCTCTCTCTCTCTCTCTCTCAAGAATTTTCTTTATTCTCTCTTTTATACCATATGTTGAGAGAGAGAGAGAGAGAGAGAGATAAAGAGAGAGAGAGAGAGACTGAAAATCAATTTGTATTTTTTGTACTGAAAAGCCATTCAATAAATGGATTTTAAAATTTTTATACATGTGTTAGAAATACAATCGTTTTTAAACCCTAGCTCTAGCTCTAGCTCTCTCTCTCTCTCTCTCTCTCTCTCTCTCTCTCTCGAGTATAAATAATAACAACTATTTTTTAAAATGTTTTTGTTATATGTTTTAACTGAACACATCTGAAACACAAAAGACAGTCAAAAACAAAAACCTAAATATAATCAAAACTCTCAATACTATTATTATAGTAGTCTTTGTGAACAGTAAAAACTCATCAAAACCTTGGATTTACGAGTAAATCATGTTTTTTAATATTAAATAATATTTCATATAAAATGCTATTTTCTCTCTCAATTCAAAAGTGCTTTTCATTTTCCATACAATAGTTTTTAAATGAAAATTAAACTTTTTTATGTTATGTTATTGTGTTGTGTGTGTGAAACTGATTGTTATTTTTAAATAAGTTTTTATAATAACTTTTATATTCAACCATAAAGTGTGTTCACAATGGGATTATAAAATTTTAATGTTTATATTAATATATAAATTATTTTTATAGTTTGTTATTAATAATCGCCAAATTTGTGTCAATAGTTTTTGTTTGTTGCTTGTTTAATTTTGATTGAAAATACTTTTTCAGCGTTTGTTTTATTTGCGAAATTAATTTCTCTCATGATTTCCGACTCAATGAATAGCAAAAAGATTTGTTTTGTTATTATTGTTGAGATTTTTTGTGCGATTAAATTAATTATTGATTTTAATTCACTTAACAAAACAAAAGTTAGTTTTAATATTCAAATGAGTGTCTAATCTCTTGGAAAATAAATAATTTTTTTGGAGACTAGAAATACAAACAAAAATTAATATATATATAAAATCATACAAAAATATATTTTCCATTATAGTTATAATAATATATCCAAAAATATATATATTATATAAAGTATGCAAAAAATATAATACAAACTCTCATGAGATGTATATTTACTTAAAAACTCTCACTATAAAAAAGTTTTGTTATCACAAAAAATCTTTATTTTTCAACACAAAAAACTTATATTTTATATATATTTTAAAGCAAAAAAAATTTGTATTGATTTTCGTATAAGTTTTGTACGAAAAAAGGAGACAATTTTCTAAAATAACAAATTTTTTGCTACTGTTTTGTGTCCCCATTATTACACTATTGTATGGAGTATACCATAGAGTGATATAAATTGACTATAATTTACATTTTCTCATCTATTTTGCAACAAACGAGTTATAATACTCTCTCCTTTAGCTCTCTCTCTCTCTCTCTCTCTCTCTCTCCGAGAGAGAGACAACTCTATTCAAGAGAGAGTACAGTAATCTACATATCATTTGCAATCTTATTGTGAAAACTACTATATTATATAAAACTCGGGGATAATTCATGTCATTTAATGTATAGTACCAAAAAACTTTGTATACAATTTGATAAAACTATTTAAGCTATTTTCTATCCTGATTATACATACTGTTTATTGTGAAACATAAATAGTTGATAAAATAATTATGACACCAAAATCAATACAATTTGTTCATTGATTAAATTTAATGACAAAGTGGTGTCTCTATTAACTTGTTAAGACATGTATGACTTTTACAGTAAACATAACACATATACAGTATGCCTACCAGTGCTAGCGTACACTCAGCCTTTTAAATATCAAAAATACATTTTATAAAATTGTAATTTATTTTAAACAAAATTTTATATAATTAATTATTTGATACAAGTATGAAAACAAATAGCATTTTTGTATAACATATTAATTAATTAATTCTTGTATTTTTCTCTCGTAATAGGCTTAACGGCTACAGAATATTCTCGACACTCGTATAGTACTTAAAAACATACAGTACTTCAGCACAAGTATTGCCTCCGAAATAATAGACATTAAAAATGAAGGAAACCCTGAAATCGATTGAGGAAAAGGAGTTTAATTGCATTAAGATTGTGGTGGTGGGCGACATGCGATCCGGAAAGACCTCGCTCATACACCGATTCATCAACGATAAATATCCAGAGGTATGTACACCATTCACATTATGCATTATACAGTATAATAAACATATACTATATTTGCATAAATAAATTCCTAGTATTATATTAAATATTTACAAATCGAAAACAACATTAAATTTTACATAACTTTTAAAAAACTTATTTTTAAAGTCATTTAATTTTTGATGTATGATAATGTGTGGGACTTTTAGGGTAACCCCTGTAGATCATTAGGGAAACCCCCGTATGGTATGTCTGTATACTCTTTATGAGTATCAAAAAAGGGAATAAATTAATTTAATTAATACTTTTTATACTATAATTATGTTTTAAAATAATAACACGTTTGACACCCCGTACCTACCCTTCCCTTACCTACACATTAAAGGGGAACTCCATGTCCTTTGAGCTCTTAATGGACAGGCTATCAAACTTTATTTTTTGCTCAATTTACACATATTTTTGATTAAAATAATTAGCTTTTGATGTATTTCTGTGCACCAAAGGGGAGTGTAGTGTATGTTATATATTAACATCCCTTTCCCTCTATGTTATTAATATATGGCAATCAGTATCGTTAGGCAACACTCATATATATCCTGATGGGTGTGTGGATCCCATTCCCACATCTTTTATATGATATTTTTGATTTTGATATATTAATTACACATTTAGTTATCTCTGAGAGAGAAATACATGTTTTCAAGTCATTCATTGCTTAATATAATAAAACTAATGGTTTTTAAAACATTGAACGAAAAAAATCAAGGATTTTCAACAAATAGTAAAACAATTTCTCTTATTATAAATTGAAATCTCATTATCAATGATAAGAAAAAGTTTTTTATATTTGTGTCAATCATTAATTATATTTTGCGAAAATAATTGATACGAAAAATAATTTGTAATTCTTTGCACACATGTGTTGAGTGTTTTAGAAATTTAGTATAAATTTATTTATGAAATTATTTTTATTTATTTTTGTATTATCCGATAAACAAGTACAGTAGTTTTAAAATATTAATATACCGATAATTATTTATTAACACAAAAATATGTTTTTTGATTTAATCTCATTTATGAAACATAATTATTTGTCAAAAATATATTGAATGCAAAATTTGATTTGATTTGATTTTTCATTTAATAATTTCTGGCGAAAAACCTTTCGGGAGAAAAATCAGATGACATGAGAATTATAATTATTTTTCAATACATTTATTACTATTGAAAATATATACAGACATGTGATACGTGTAGCCAAAAGTCAATAATAATTTATATATATAATATATTTTGCTATATTTTAATGATACCTTACGGGCATTCATTTATAATAGACATATGATGATAATAAAAAAGTATTATAAGTAATATAAAAAGCATCTCTCAAAAAAATACTTATTTAATAAATCAAAAGACATCTCTCAATCACTAAAACACAGATATCTCTGAGAATATATTTATTTTTCATACATATAACATGCACCCAGCTAACATATACAAATTGAAAATAGCGTTTTGACAGTAGATATGGAGTCACGTCTACCAAAAATATATTATATAACATAGCTAGCATGCAACACAAATATCTATAATATATCTGTTTAACTAATCAAATATATTTTTTCAATCTCTCTCTCATCCCTTTCCCATCGCCTTTCCCCTTATGAATCAAACCAGATGTATATACCGACCGGTTTCGAGAAATACACGGTTGGCTTTGAAGTGGGCGGCCATCACTTTTCATCCACCATTTGGGACACTTCTGGTAAATATTTTGCCATTAATTATATAAACAAATGTCACCATAAAAAACGGCATAGATTGGTGTGTTTTTCATATATAATATCTGTATTATGAAATATCAATATTTAGACACTGAATAACTTATGAGACTATGTGTTTAGCTAATGCATACATGGTGTAGGAACCTTTTTATTTATACTGTACATAGCTAGCATGCATTTATATATGTTTTAAATCAATATATTTTCTATGTATGTTCATTTATGAGACATATTTATATATTTGTTTGGTGCGAATATATTGTACAGATATGTTTGTGGTGTATGTTAGTATTACCGGGGGGTAGTAGTTTTAGGGTTAGGGGTATTTTTATATGATTGGATTTATGCAGTTTATTATTATATTTAAAATGCTATTTTACTATTCAAATCCGTTTTTCAAATATCAATAGCCTTATTAATAGTCATAAATTAAATACCTAACAACTCGTTTTGAATATGAATTATAGTATGAATTATAGACACGATATCGTATGATATAAATAGATAGAAACACATAATTATTATGATTATCAATACAGTATTGGCAATAAATGTGAAATAATTATTTGCGAACTAATTTAAGTGTTCAGAAAAAAGTAATTCAAGTATTGAATAAATATTATTTTGCTTACAAAGTAATGGGTGTTAAACACGGAATCGTATATTAAATTGTATTGAATCTAATAGTTATTATCGGAGGGACTCGTAATAGAGTGAGAAAAAT